ATGTTTTCCTATTTGACTAAGAAGTACCTAATTTTTATCTATCTATCTATCTATCTATCTATCTATCTATCTATCTATCTATCTATATATATATCTGTTCATATCTATCTATCTATCGATATATATATATATATAATATATATCTGTTCATATCTATCTATCTATCTATCTATCTGTTTCATTTTGTTCATATCTATCTCAGTGTCTTCATATCTCTCTATTTATCAATCAATCAATCTATCTATCTATCTATCTATCTATCTCAGTATGTTCATATCTATTTCAGTTTTTTTCATATCTATCTATCTATCTCTCTATCTATCTATCTATCTATCTATCTATCTATCTATCTATCTCAGTATGATAATGCCTGTTTTTTATCAATCTAAACATTATTAAAATTACAATTTTCACGGATAAACAAACATCAAAATGTAATTAAATTAATTTCCAGTCTATGTTTTAAATATAATCACTAGAAATTACAATATATGAGTTCAAATACTTTTCTTTTCGTTGCCGGTCAACACATTTTCGAATTTCATTTAATTAAAAATGGTTAGAGAATTGAATTATGGCTCACGTATTTCAGTATACCTACGCATTGAGTAACAGAAGATGGTAAATACGAGCTAACATAAGCGAAAACAAATGTAGCATTTATGAACAAGAATAAGCGTTATTCATCTAATAGGAAATTATATTTCCATTATTATTTAAATTTAGTGAAACAAAGTATGTATTTAATTTTTGTAATCAATGAACAACTCTAACCCTAAAAAATTTAAAGCATTATTAATAACATTTATGCAAACAGATTTTTTTATACATGCCTTTTGTTTCAAATCCTTCCGTCCAATACCTTTTGTTTCAAGTCCTATCAAACAAAGGGTGAAAAAAAACTTGACCGAAAACGTGATGGAAGAACTAGCTATATTGTGTTGTAAAACTTTTCATTTTAATGACTTCATTTCTTTTGTTGTTTCCTTAGGTTAGTTATTGTTATATACCATATTTATAAACACTAATAGGTATGTCCCAATCGTATATACGATGGACAATATTGTAAGTGGGGATAATATGCTAAGTTTTCCACCCGTAGAAGTAGTTTACCTAAATCACACCGCTGATGAGTATTGTACTTTGTTGATGTTATAAAGATTACCATTTCATTTCTAACCTCCATTTTGGTAATTCTCCATTCGGTAACCTTTTCTAGGTTACAACAGTTATGAGGAATCAGTCCATTGCATGACGTCATTTCTGCTCACCAAAATCCTCTTATTTGGAATACAACATACAATTGACATACACGAGTGAATAACTAGTTATTTGTCCTGCTGATTTCTCTAAATCAGACGAAATCGTTATATATTTTGTTCTATGCTCCGCCAGTTTACTGTGGATAATTTTCACAATTTGTTCTTAGGTTAGATCTTCACAGAGGTTAGTAAGCACTGGTCTGTTTTTGCCTGGCTCACACCTTTCTAATTTCCTGTAAGGCCTCATGGAGAATGGCATTAAGTTGCGGTCATGAAATTGAAAAAAATCAAATAGATTTGCGTGCAAATCTCCAGCGTAAGTTAGATTATTTATTTTCAATTTGCTCTATAATTTCCTATGTTGATGCTTTTACTAAATATGAGGTTGTCCTACAATTATGTTATATTGTTATACTTACGAATACCTATTTATATGAATCATTATTTTAACACTTCTTTCTTACTAATTCTTTTGGGTTTTTTTTTGTTTCTTATATGATTCGTAACTCCCAGGAAGAGATAACAATTATATAATATTGACTGTTCAAATGAGGTTACGATGCCTCGAAAGCCCAATAAGATATCAACTTGGAATTTGATAGTAGCATTATTAAAGTAAAATTCATAAAGAGATTGGTTAATAAATTTTGTAAACTGAATGAATTAATAAGTAACAATGTTTGACCTTTACTTATATGGAAATATCCGAATTTATGTGACAAACAACCATTTTTAGTGTCGGTTGAAGTTTATTAAAAAAATATTTCTATTAAAAAAAAAAGTTTTGAAAATAGCTTTCTCAAATCCACTAACTGTTATTACTCTTTCCAGTAGTGATGAGGGCGTAGATCTTAACCTTTCGTCCGATGCCGTGTAGAGGGACAACGTGTTGATTATATCATTATTTACTCTTTGAATTTAATGTTCTATTCAGTTTAGTTGTTATTGCTTTTGAAATTGTTCAAATGATAGAGTTTTTGTTATTTGATAGAGTTCTCTGCTTGTGCTTCTGTATCGTCAGTCCACGAGGTTTCAAGAAGTATGCTCGTTAAGTCCTATAAGACTCTTTCACGAGAAGTCATAGTTAATCACTAATTGATGCAAGTAAGCGGTTGAATACAGCTGACAATTTACCGTATATACTCACTTATCACGCAACTTTTGAAGACCTAATTTTGAAGCTAATTTTAAGGGGGTCGCATCATATATAAGATATAAAATTGGAGGATGCACTGCTGGTCCTGGCTACGCCGTTGCCTCAACTATATATCCATTTACTGTAGTAGAAATTACAGCTGTATTTAAAAGTAACATGACTTTGATAAAACTGATGTATCCAATAATAATGAATGTAATATTCACATATTAATATCGTAAAATACAAACATAGCGAATATGCATCTTTTTCATTGTTTCCATTTATAAGATGTTTCGCTGTTTCTCCTTTAGGCGTTTACGCAACGAGTATAGAGTTATTAACGACACTTTTATTATTCTCTTTTACTTATTTAACTAGAAGATGGATAAAGAGATCGGGTTAAAGAAGTTAGTCTATTGCAATTTGGTTCCTCAAAAAAGAAAACTCACATGACACACGAGATATATTTTTATATGAAAAAATTTGGTGGTCCCACAATGTGTGATATCACGCGTTAAACGTGTATATACGGCAGTTGTTTTAAAACGGGTCTAGAGACATGTTTTATACCCGTATGAGGATCTTGTTCTGATCAGGCAAAATATGAAAGCATATGTTACAACGTTTTCTGACGTAAAGATGAACGTCTAAACTAGTGGATAGAGATGTCTCAGTTCTGGTCCTTGACACTTTACGCTTTTACAATTCAGTGTACACCGTCCAATAGTTGTCTAGCCTTAGTTTGGGAATTTTTTAACATTTATCTGAGGCAAAAGGGGCAACGTGAAACAGCGAGTAACGTATCTAACAAACTTGTGCAAGTGGATGACAGTGGATGACAGAACAGATACTGGGAGGTATAATCAGGCGACAAACTTTGTTTAGAACGACAAAGAATAGGGAGATGCTGACAGCTATGATCACACACGTCGTGAAAGGGCAAGGGAACACTTAGTAACCTACCTAAGAAGTCTGTGCAAACGGACAATAAAACAAAGACTAGAAGGGATTTGAAGACATATACTTCTGAAGAGTATAACGCATAGTAATTTGGAGAAGCCATAAACGTCCATGCCCAAAAGGAACAGATCACAAAGAAGTGATTAACATTTGGTTACTAAATTCTACTGGTATATTCATTTGAATAAATATTCTCATGAGATTATTTTGTGTGAGGGCATCACGTTCGCAAAATTTAGACAATGATCACGGTGTTCAATAAATATCCTCATTAAAAAAATATTTTGTATTAGAAAAAACTATAAAATCTGCCCAGCTTTTGCAACGAAAATTTACTGAATTTAAACTTAAATTTAATGCTGCCGCATAAAATTCATTAGTCTCATATACAATTCAACTTATATTTCAATTGTTCGAAGAATTTGCGTTGATCACTGTAGACAAGGTAAGTATTCTTGGCTATGCAAAATTACATTTTACCACATCAAACGTACAGTACATATCACTGACATCTCATTTTAACAGATATATTTACCAAAAAATACACAAAAAATATCTTGAAATACTAAAGAGTAAATTTATTCAATAAAAACGCTATTGGTTTCAATGACGTCCCCCAGCCGACATCGGAATCTTCTGCAGCTTTTGCCTTGTTTAAGTTGGTGAATGCCTCCATAATCTTTGTCTTCAGTTCATCATTGTTGTTCCAAGAAGTTTTATTAGTCTTTCGTTCAACTGAGCCCCACACATAATAATCAGCAGGGTTACAGCCTGGGGAGTTAGGTGGTCAGATGTTAGTGGTTATGTGGTCGCAGAAATTGTCTGGCAGCCAATGCGTGGCATGACATAGGGTCTTCAATACTAATCACCATTAGACTCGTCCAACTTTTTCTGAATCTTCTGTACTGTCCTTAGAACTCACTTATTAACTAGTTTCATATTGAAAGTAAGTTTTTACGAGACAAAAGGGCTGGCCTGAAATTGTTGTTCAATTTTTGTAAGACGCTCAATATGACTTATTATTTTACACATAAAGAAAAGATTACCTGAACTTCACGTAACATCGTTCTACCTATATGACAGAGAGAATGCTGGAAAAATCTTTTTACCGATGAAGAAGAGACAGGAGACAACATAAATGTGGTTCTACAGAAGGACGATGAGGAATATGTAAGTCATAACGAAATTTTAGAGAAAATGGAAACAAAACTGAAACTTGTATTTAACATCGGAAAGATAAAAACGATCACGGAAAATATAAAACTGAAATGACATATTGAAGATGGACAGAGAAGAGCAACTTGTAAGTTATCTAACAAGCGTTTGTAAATGGATGGCAGAATAGGGATTAGGAAACAGTGAAAATACAAAATTTACTAAGAGCTACAAATGAGAGGAAATTGCGGAAAGTCAGGCTCACTTACACCCTGAAGGGACACCAAACATAAAAGGAAAAAAAAAAAAATCAATTAGTTAGATATTTTAAGGACTTAGGTGATGATGGCTCTCTTTAGATTTCGTTTGTTTTTAATCCCTATGAATTGACATGACTTCTTAGGAAAGATAGTGGAGTAGTTTTCCGTTTCTTTCCTCACCGTTTTGAAATCAGAGTTTCGTTCCTTTAGAATGGTTGTTATTCACGGCTACGAAACTCTTTCTATTCTGCTATTTAATCCACAGCTGGGGGATGAAGGGATAATTCATACATTTCTGAGGACGTTTGATTGAAAGTGAGCGCAAGCGACTAGATTGGAATTTGAACTGAGGTGACTAATTCCGCTGAGAAACTTCAGGACATACGCGATTAGAGCAAAGTTAATGAAGATTGTCAAGGTCGGTTTTCGAACAGGGTATAACAGTTCAATTCTCAATGGTATTAACTGTTACCCCACTAATATCTGAAATGTCAATAACAAATGAGAAACTTACCTACTTATAAATCTACCAGTCGTCCATGCTTTGAATATTGCTGCCAACACAAGCCTATATATATATATATATATATATATATATATATATATATATATATAGCCTATATATATATATATATATATATATATCTTAAAACTATATGTTTATGTAAATATAAAAGTGAACACTGAAGTCAACAAGCAGAGGCGACATGCTGTTTCATGCTAGACGCAATCGTCAGGCCGCCTGACGATTGCTTCTAGCATAAAACAGCCTGTCGCCTCTGAGTGTTGACTTCAATGCATATGCAGCATTGCCAAATATACGCGCTATAGTGACTGATGTTGATCAAAACAGCACGTAATCCTGCAGATGTGGTCCAGTTAGAAGCATCTTCAGGACTGCTTGCCCAGTCTGCTCAATTGATCTCCGATTAAAGATGTTACTAAGTAACAAGTTGCGGCTTCCAAGTGCCATTGTCTACGTCATCTTTCAAAAACTAACTCATGTAGGGGCCCATACATGATACCCCCCCACTACTCACGTTCGTGAGCAGAGATGCAAAGTGATCCGGTCCTTGAGCAGATATAGCCAATTGGTTTAAGTCAGGTAAATTTTAAATTTTAAGCAAATCTTAATTTCTGAAAAAGATATTTGCAACAGCCAATCTTAAATCCCCAAACTAAACGATGTTAACATTTTAATTCAGTTGATCAGACGCCATGAGAGCCAGGCCAGCATCAGAGCTTTATTATTATTATTATTATTATTATTATTATTATTTAATTCATCTTGACGCGTTGATTACCAGTACATCCGTTTTCTCAAAACAAGTGACGGTTGTATAAAGATTTATAATTGTTCGTAGATTTTCTTCAAAATCTCATATTTATATACAATTTTTAAAATTAACTTGAAAAGACATAGTGTAGAAATATTATTGAACCTTGTGAAACACTGTGTCTTTTCTTTTTGTCTTTTCTTAAATTGCGCTCTTCTCTAGATTTATTATTATTATTATTATTATTATTATTATTATTATTATTATCTTTGGATTCTGTTGCATATACATTTCCTTCCGGGTCCCAATCAGAGAACTAAGGTCGAAATGGCTACATGACACTGATCATTTTTGCAAAAAAAAAAAAAACGGCAAATGATCTAACATTACATAGATAAAGCTCTTCATAATATCTGAGCTATACTTGTGGATACAAATTTTTGTATTTCTTTAAGGCAAAAGCTATCAGGAATCTTTTCAATGAGTCGATTAGAACAATTTCCACTCAATCCAACTACAACTAGAATTGATGTTGATGTTCTCATATGCATCATTTCTGAGATTTCAACTTCAACATCCTTGAATTTTTAGTTTGTTGAAGAACTTAAAAGATTGATGACAATCTGTAAAAAATGCCATATCAATAAGAAAACACATTCTATTCTTGTGGTCTTTGATCACGACGTCTGGGCAATTAGTTTGATTGTTCTGTTTGTGTGTATCGTAAAGTCCCATAAGATTGTTACAGATTCTATCTCTGTAACCAGGGATGGGTGATGTTTATACCAGCTTCTTGCAGTTTTCTTACCGTAAAAATTGCAATTTCTTTTTAATGCAGATATTGGCGCACATTAGCATATTGAATTTTTATATTCAGTGGGAGCTAACATCGTGAAATCTGATGCAAAGTGGCCAATTGTTTGTTGATCTTCTTCTTCTTCTTCTTCTTCTTCTTCTTCTTCTTCTTCTTCTTCTTCTTCTTCTTCTTCTTCTTCTATGTTCCGTGTCCTTTCAAGGCGTAGGCAATCATGGCTCTCCAGAAGTCCCTATGTATATTTCGCTATCCCTTCTAATTCCTGTTCTCTCATCAATTTAAACATACTTGTTAGTTAGTTTACGCGTTCTTCCCGCCAAACTATCACTCTTACATCTGATTAAACCAGATTAGTATTGCGTCAAGTTTCTGTTTCATCTGTGAGGATGACACTCCGTATTCACTGCTCTGTAGCAGGACCAACATATATAAAATTTCAGCTTCCTTTTTATTGGTCCTAACGTACTTTTCCTTTTTCTTAATACTTTGCTTAGCATCTTTCGTTAAAACTATTCCGCTATCGGTGTCACTTGTTCCCGTTCTCTGTTAAGATATTTATACATGTTTGATTTTGGTCGAAACTTTCGGTTCGTATTGGTTAACGCGATGTTAGGTTTTATTTTATGCTAACATCACGGCAATTTCAAGGGAAAAAAGAAGTGTATTAATTAATAAATCCTATCTTATCCAATTCTTCGTAAAAATCAGACATATTTCAGTCTTTATTATTTCATATTGTTCTGCCTCATCTATTACAAAGCAAAAAGAATGGAAAAGATAAAATGTTAATGGCGTAAACCTTACGTTCTATACAACTAGTTTTGGTTTGAATGAAAAGTTAGAAATATGCTTGTGGCCCAGCCGACACCGGAACATAAGCGATTAACATGCCAGTCTGCAAATGCCTTCAGGGAAATTTACCACCCAGGTTATTGTTCTGGTCATTCGTGGATTTACAATGATCTCTTCTCATTTTTACTTCTTGCATACATCCTTGGCTTCTTTTAAAAAAAAAAAAAAAAAGAAGCTGCATCTTTTTTGTCTTTTGTTTATATTTTTGTGTTTTTTCTTTGTCTTTCTCTGTGTGATTCTTAAAAAATTCTTTCATTTCCCTCATTTTCATTCACCTCATGAAATTTGTTTTTGCATATATTTAGTTCCTTCTTTTATTCACATTCACTTGTGTTGCAGATTGTTTTTCTTTTGATTTTTGCAATTTCATATTTTCGTCAATTTCATGTCTTCCATGTATTCCTGTGTTCTTATATTTGTTTTGGCTCCCTTTTCGATTTTCTTCTACAAATACCACCATTTTCTTTCTTTCCTTATACTGTATCATATTTTTCTCAATTCCATGTATTTCGTTTTTCTCCCAATTTTGTCGTTTTTTCTCTTACTTTTAATTCTGAGTTTCACCTATTTGTTTGCTTTCTTCTTCCTCCTCTTCTTCCTTTTCTTCTTCCCCTTCGTCGTCTTCTTCTTCTTCTTCTCGCCTTTCTTCCTTTTTCCTTCTCCAATCCTGTCTTGTTGTTGTTGTTTTTGTTGTTGTTCTTCTTTTTCTTTTTCTTCTTCTACTTCTTCTTCTCGCCTATCTTCCTTTTTCATTCTACCATCCTGTCTTCTTCTTCTTCTTTTTCTTCTTCTTCTTCTTCTTACATTCTTTCAAATTTTCTTTTGAGTTAGTTTTTCCGTCTCATTTATGAGAAATTATTTCTATATTCTGCTTTTGAATTTCTTTTTCTTGTCTTCATTAATTCCTTCTTTTAAGCTGTCTTATTTTTCTTTCTATAGTTTTATTCGTTTCACTTGTCGACCTTTTCCCTTTTTATTTGAGCTTTTATTTCTTTTTAATTCACCGTGCTTATCTTCTTTATCTTTCTTTATCCATCAATTGTTTTCTTTTTCAGGTTTGCATTCGCTTAACTTTCTTTTTTCTTTCTTTCTTTCTTTCTTTCTTTCTTTCTTTCTTTCTTTACTGTTGTTCTCATCTTCATTTATTTAATCATTTATTATATTTCTTCTTTCTTTCTTTTTTATTCCTGCTTTGTATGACTTTGCATTTTATTCTTTGACTTCCACCATTTTTACTTTCTAGGTATTATTCTCTTTTTTAATTTTATTTTTTCTTCTTTTAATTACATATTATTTTTTTATGTTTTCTTATTTGTCTTAATCTACAAAGACTGTCTTTTTCTTTTCTATTTTTCCGCGTTTTATTTCATTCCTTTTTTTTATTTTATGATTTTTTTTATTATCGATTCTTTTTTTATTTTCTTTACTTTCTTTTCTTATGATAAAAAATCAACCAAAATATGCCTTTATACGTACGCTTTAAGATATATTGGTGATGAAACGTTATGGTTATTTCTGTTTACTTAAACTTTACTTAAAGGCCACAACTGAAAAATGTTTCTTTGCAGCCTGAAGAAATAACATTGCATGCATACAGTCTGACAGATTCATGCCAAAACAAAGCATTTAATACTTATGAGATTCACGATGAAATGAGCATTCTGTAACTGTCCAGGTGCAATTCAATATTCACCGCATTTTGTTAACAGATGGACCGAAAATACACAAAAGAATATTTCTGCAAAATTAGCTAAACTAGCTTTTTACGTAACCTTCGACACACTGTGCTGAATAAAATATTACATGCACGTCATATATAGCGAAACGGAAGACTCTGGCGGTCGGCTGAAGATGAGATAATTTGCAGTTAAAAAAATAAATACAAATTGCCTTTTCTCAGTTTTCTTTTCCCGTTGTTTTATAAATTTAGTTAATGGAGTTCGTGCATATCGCAGGGGTTTCTCATCTCTGGTCAATTTGATATTTCTATGAGACGTTACGCTGTGGGAGGCGTCATTAATGAAAAAAAATATTAACCTTCAAAAATACGGTCAGCACACTCTGATTGTAGATTAAGATTAGAGTAGTAGTCAATAACTTGTTCTTCTACCTATATGCCTATTCTAAAAGAAAATGAAAATAATAATCATAGCAATATATATATATATATATATATATATATATTTTCATTAATGACGCCTCCCACTGCGTAACGTCTCATAGAAATATCAAATTGACCAGAGATGAGAAAGCCCTGCGATATGCACGAACTCCATTAACTAAATTTATAAAACAACGGAAAAAAAACTGAGAAAAGGTATATATATATATATATATATATATATATATATATATATATATATATATATATATATATATACAAAATTAAAGAATGTAACATCGTCGTATCGAGGAGATATTTTAATAATAAAATACTCAATGGCTATCTAAAGAAATATTATTGTAAATGTAATTATTGAAAATTCACAATAGTATTTCAAAATTGATTCATATGGGTTGGAAGAAACTCTTCAATCTTGATACGGATCATAAACTTCAATAAGCTTGATACAATCTCTCGCTCTTTCTCTCTCTCTTTATATATATATATATATATATATATATATATATATATATATATATATATATATATACAGTGAGGAAATAAGTATTTCATCGCCTGCTATATTTAAGAGTCCCGCCACAAGGAATGTATGTGGCACAAGGCCGAGTTTAATGTGGGTTTCTCCGAGCCTGTAGGCCCAGCCAAAAATATCCCCTTTGAACCCGCCTAATCGGGTTCAGGTTCTGTCTACCTCCCCGGACGTAACTTTGCCTGCGACAAAGCTTCGTCCGAGGTCCTCTCTACCGAGGCAAAGAGTTAGACAGTGAAGAGTCTGTATTTCATCGCCTGCTTATTTTCTGAGTCTGCCACCATACAAATATAGAAACGGTCTACAATTTTCAGAGAAGGTCCGTCTAGAAAGTGAGAGATAGAATATAAAAAAAATTCTATAAATTCCCATTATATTAATTTTTTAACATTTATCTCTTTTTTATTGAAAAAAAAATCACTACCAACCAGCAATGATTCAGGCTCAACAGATTGTTCATATGACCAGGAGGCAAATAAACAAGTCCTATTACTCAATTAGTACTCCTAATCAAGTTCTTATTACCTGTATAAAAAACACTAGTTCACATAAACCTTCAATGAATCAGAATCTAATCTCTCCATAATGGTCAACACAAAAGAATTGCCTAAGGACATCCGCAACAAAATTGTATTCTTGTAGCTAGATGAGAAGGAGTCAACTGTTGGTGCGATAATAAGAAAATAGAAGAAACACCAATTGAATATCAATCCCCCTCGGTCTGGAGCTCCATGCAAGATCTCCCAACGTGGAGTGAGCCTTATGATGAGAAAGAGGAGGATATAACCCAGAACTACGCGGCAAGAGCTTGTTGATGATCTCAAGGCAGCTGGGACTACAGTAACACCATTACTAACACGATATGTCGTAGTGAATTGAAATCATGTAGTGCCGGCAAGGTTCCCCTACTCAACAAAGCACACGTATAGGCCCGTCAAGAGTTTGCAAATGAGCATCTGGATGATTCAGAAGAGGTTTGGGAGAAAGTTCTCTGGTCAGACGAGACTAAAACTCGACCCGTCGTGTCTGGAGTAAAAAGAATTCTGACTTGGACCCCAAGAACACCATCGCAACTATTAAGTATGGTGGCGAAAACATTATGCTTTGGTGCTGTTTCTCTGCTAAGGGGAGAGGACGACTAAACAGGGTCGATGGAAAGATGGATGGGGCCAAGTAAAGATAAATGGTGAGGGAAAACCTCCTTGCTTCTGCTAGGACACTGAAGATGTGTTGTGGATGAGTGTTCCAGCATGGCAATGGCCCAAAGCATACGTCTAAGGCAACAAATGAGTGGCTCGAGAAAAAGCACATTAAGGTAATGGAGTGGCCTTGTCAGTTCCCGGACCTTAATCCTTTACAGAATCTGTGGGGGAAACTGAAGCTTCGAGTTGCCCAACGACAACCTACAAACCTTAAGGATTTACAGAGGATCTGTAAAGAGGAGTGGGCCAAAATCCCCCCTGGGGTCCGTAAAAAAACTTGGTAACCAAGTACAGGAAACGTCTGGCTGCTGTTCTTGCCAACAAAGGTTTCTTCATCAAATACTGAGTTATGATGTACTATGGGGCGAAATACTTTTTTTTTCAATGGAAAAGAAATAAATGTTGGAAAACTAATATAATTCGATTTTGTAGAATGTCTCACTTACAAGACGCACCTACTTGGAAAATTATAGACCGTTTCTATTTTTGTAAGGTGGCACACTCATAAAATCAACAGTGGATGAAATACTTAATATCCCCACTGTACATAGGTAGACATACAGTTCAGATATAGAAATCAATGCTGATGGGTAATTGTCAGTTTCCCACTTGGCTTCATTATCATATTAAACAGTGAAATCGACAGTCACTGTGCAGTGTTGATTCCTGCGCCCACATTGTCTATAAATCTAGGTTACGTATATCTGATATTGACTATTGTATCCATATCAATAGACTAAACTATCTCTCTCTCTCAATATATATATATATATATATATATATATATATATATATATATATATATATATATATATATATATATATATCTTTACCTTTATTATACGTGTAATATGAACACTTCCTATGATGTTCTATGCCTACAAGTTAAAGATTCAAATATTTATTAATCTGACGATTTTCCTTCTAGGTGCGAAACGTATTACTTAGAAAATATTTTTCATGTTGTCATTCGATTACTCACTTCTGATATAAAACGAAAAGTTGAAATCATTCAGGAAACACAGCAGAGTTAGTCATAAAAAATATTTTTCAAGTTATTGACTGCTGTCTGTGTCAAAGATAAACGTCATGAAATATTCATCTATGTTGTCAGCTTACTAGATGTCATTTTATCCTTCTTCCTCAAAAAGGATGTCATCTAGGACACTTGTGATATTTTTTAATGATACCATTTTCTTTCGAACAATTTATTTGCATCACTCAAAAGTGCTAATAATACGCACTTCTGTTTCATTACAGAGAATAAGCATTGGATTATATATATATTTTTAAAATATTCAATTTCTCCATGTGTGAGCTTATTTTGAAAATTCGTTTATTGATTCATTCTGTAAAAATCCCGCATACGATGTTGTTTTTCAAATTATATGTAACATATATACATCCTTATATTTAGTCAAGACGAAGTGGATAGAAAATGTTCAATGTTGAATTTATGTTAAATTTGGGTGCTAAAAATGTTACTATGTCAGTAAGTATTAAACAGTAAGTACTTTTCCCAAATTTCGTAACGGAAATTTATGAGTGCCCATTATCTATCTATCTATCTATCTATCTATCTATCTATCTATCTATCCTTCTACTTCTGTTCAAATATATCTAATTTTGTTCATTATCTATTTATCTCAGGCTGTTATCAGCCTATTCATACAAGTCTTTCTGTTTCTCTGCTAATCTATCTATCTATCTATCTATCTATCTATCTATCTATCTATCTATCTATCTATCTATCTATCCTTCTACTTCTGTTCAAATATATCTAATTTTGTTCAATATTTATCTCAGGCTGTTATCAGCCCATTCATACAAGTCTTTCTGTTTCTCTGCTAATCTATCTATCTATCTATCTATCTATCTATCTATCTATCTATCTATCATAGTGAAGTTGATTGAAATCAATAACTAGTGTCTATTATACATAAATTATTACGGTATATATATATATATATATATATATATATATATATATATATATATATGTGTGTGTGTCTATGCGTGTATGTGTATTTCATTCTTAGACTGTGCTGTTTCGCTGTATCACAACTCCTCAGTGCGACTAGACATCCGAAGGCCTCAAGCCCGGATCGAAACCCATCCGATTTGGAGTCAGTGTTTCTATCACTGAGTTATCCTCATTCGACAGAGAGAACCAGTTAAATCTAGCGTATTGTTTTTAGGAACGTAAACAAACGCCAATTAGTCAGACGGCTCGAATTCATTTTTGCTGAAGAGTTTTGCATTAACGCACGGGGCAGTTATTTATAGAATTAGCCTATCACTCAACAGTGCTCAATTGAAATATATTTTCAAGAGCTACATTATGTGATTCGCAGACAGTACTGTTTCGCTGTATCTGGAAAAAAGGAAGAAGCGCAGAATAGTTTTTATATAATAGATCGATACGGTTTCAAGTTTCAATTAAGAATGGTTACATCGTTTTCGATCAAATTCCTTGTAGAAAAGCATGAATCCAATTATACCTGCTCTTTGCCACCTTGGTCATATTATTATCACTGAAGTTCAGATTGATACATAGGTTAGTGTTTGAAAGGGATTTCATTGATTATCCACTCACTATAAAAAGTTCCCATTCACGTAAACTTTGCGAGATGCCTACTCTATCAGTTATCAGTATTGACGCATGTACCTGCAGACACACATACACACACTCAAAGTTCTCTATTTGGGCAGCAATACCTCTTTAATACATGTTACGTTGAACAAAACTGTCACGATAGTTTATTTTTTTGTTCTTCCATGCTTACAGATGTTTACTATACTGGAGACCAACACTCACCAGTCAAGTCGGCTGAGTCTAGATCTCTCTGATCAAAACTCAATACGGACACAGTTAATTCAGCATAGAATTTTCTGAACTTCATACGTAACTTACTAGTCAAGAACGTGGTTTAGATATGTATTTCGAATCGCAAAGCAAATTTAATAGCGACTGAAAAATAATTAAAAAAGAAAACCGTAATAAAATTAATAAACACGGTAAGAATGTCATGGGTGTCGTTGTCGGCTAAAGTATCATGGCCGAAGGTTCCGAAAACAGAACATTCTCCAGTGCCGTACCGTTCTCCAGTGTTCAAACCATTATACTAAACACGAAGAGGTCCATTATTTTCTTTCGTGGTTCAAAGGTCAGTTTCTTTCTTCGTGACGAACTTTGCCTATAGAGGCAGGACCTACAAGGTGGTTGGACAAGAGTGGTTTTGAATTGAGAGATTTTTTACACCCAATGCAATAGAATGAAGTATGTCCCGCTCTTTGGTGGCACGGTGGCGTAATGGATAGCGGTTCGGATTTAGGGATCCGAGAACCGATTTCGAATTCAAGTCGAATCCATTACATTCACTTACGTGTTAATACTCTTGGAAAAGGTATGAATATTCTTCTTCTCCTACCCAGCTATGGGTAAATAACAGGACAGACCCGGTTCTATAGGCTTGGATGGCAACAGGCCTATCGCAGAAAGAAATGGCAACCTACTGCGGGAAAAAATCTGCCTCGTCAATCATGTATCGAAAAATACATGATCGCCTAAGCGTGTATCACAGATGGCAAATAACTGACTGACTTACCAGTCGAATCCATTACATTCACTCACGGCCTAATACCCTTGGAAAAGGTATGAATCCTCTTCTTCTATAGTTATAGCTAAATAGCAGGACAGGCTGGGTTCTATAACCTTGGATGGCAACTGGTCTACTGCAGAAAGAAATGGCAACCTTCTGCGGGAAAAAATCTACCTCGTTAGTCATGTATCTAAATATACATGATCGGCTAAGCATGGCACATAACTGACTGACCTGCTCTTTACTTGTAGCAGTGGGAGAAAAAATGAATTCATACGTTTGCCAAAGACACTGGTACGCAAGAGAATGTAATGCACTTGACTGGAATGTGAACTCATCTATCGGATCCCGCAATCGATTACTCCACAGTGCGTCATGAGGAGGAATAAGTTTACTTTCAGTAAATTTCATGCCGTCTATAATAGTAGTTATCATTTGTTAGAATAACCAAAATCCTTTAAAATAGCTAATAGCTTATCAGATAGAGCTCGAAATCAACAAACATTTGGACAATGTTTCTGATATTAAATGTAGAAAGGAACAAATTGTAATTTTTCAAGAAAATATAATAAAATAAATATAGACAAAAGCTATTTTTTATATCTTGTTTATCGATACTAACAAGCGCATATATATATATAAATATATATATATATATATATATATATATATATATATATATATATATACCGAGAATTGGAACCCGAACAGTTTCAATAGGAGAGAAAGGCCATGCCAACTGTACCAACCGGACTCGGTGATGAATAGTTGAAGAATTACACTCGATATAGCGTCGCTCCATTCCGTGGTGGAACTTATCCGAGTTTCACTTTACACTTAGGACTGTGCCTCCGCGAGCTACGAATGCTATCCCCAAGCCGCTCAGTCCAGTTCAAGCAAGGATATACAGATAAAAATAATTAGGAGGATTTGAAATAATCATAATTAAGTAATTCATCGAGTCAAGAAGAAACCTTAACAGAATACCGAAAGCACTGAACGACCGGTTTGTTCTATATTTGGGACTCATTAGCAGTGTGCATCCACTACCGAGAATTGAAACCCGAAATGTTACGATAGGAGGAAAAAGTCAGAAATTGTACCAACGGACCTCGATTGTCATAATCCTTACCTTCAAATTGTCTTTGGTGTTACAAAAAAATTTGTTCGTCTCTCGCTTAACTGCACCCCAAACATATTAATCAAGTAATGTAAGGGTTGATGTGGTTGTAGAAATTGTCTGACAGCCATGGCAGGTTTCTACTGCCTGTGTAGCATGGTGCAGAGTCCTGTTGCCAGACATTAGGTCTTTCAGTAACCATCCTCTTGACCTAGGAAAGCACTACCTTCTCAAGAGAGTTGATGTAGGCTTGCGTGTTGAGTGAGGCACTGTAGGAAGACGAACTCCGCCATCACTAGTGATCACTCCAAACACCTTCGTAATCACCATTGGACTCATCTAACGCTTTCTGAATCCTCTACATAAATTCTACATCCTCGGCATAAATTCGTCATGTTGTTCTTTTTCTCAAAGACGGTGTTCAACTGACCCAACTATACTCTGCAGCAGACAAAATAAAATCAAGCAGCCCGCATGCTCGAAATTAAGAATATAAAATGGCAATAATTTACCGATCGCATCCTGTATAATTTTTGTATATATATATATATATATATATATATATATATATATATATATATATATATATATATATATATAGCATTTTCACCCCAAGCAAGGCGGGAAGCCACTAGGACGCAAGGGGTTACAGAAAATTAGAGCAAGATCAGATAGGAGTGATAGAAGAAAGGATGAGAAGAAGAGTAGTGGATAGATCAAGGCAACTGGGGATGTCGATTGACATTACACTTGAATAGCTGGAGATTATAGCTCACAGGGAAACAGGAATAGGGAAGGGAGTTTCACAGGCGAGAGGTGCGAGACATGAAGCTATTGGAGTAGAAGAGACGGCTACATTTAGGAGTTTCGACAGTGAAGTGGTGAGAGCGGGATGCCAGCCTCGTATGGCGCATGAACTCATGACGTCTGGGAACCAGCGAATGCAGCTCCTCGGAGCAATTGCCATGAAAGTATTTGTAGAACAGGAAGAGGGAGGCGACGGCGCGTATATGTGTGTGTGTGTGCGTGTGTGTGCTTTTGTGTGTGTGTGTGTGAATGTATGTTCACTTATATGAATAAAATCAAGTGACAGTTGATTTGAATAGCGTAGGAAATTACTCTAGCAAGGCGACTTGAGGCAACTCGACGTGGTATCAATCCCCCAAATAATCTGGTGACCTCTGGAGAGTGGTCGAACCGCTAC